CCTCTTAGGTTTATGAATGCCGACTTGCCGCCAAATGCATCGAATTTCTCTATTATCTCCGCGGTCACCACTGCCCCATATATGATATGCGTTTTTCACCTAACGCTCACGTACTTGTCAGCTGTGCGGAGCAAATGTGTTGGTGGAGCATGCAAATGGCAGCTTGCAAGCTAAACAATGCGCTTGAGGTGAGAGAAAGTTCACGTCAGAAGAAGAATAATTCACGCTTTTCCTCAGCGGACACTGACAGCAGCACAACAGATAGTGAAACAGATGAAACAGTCGACGCAAGCGTGGTTCGAGCTGTACCCACAAGCATCTTCGAGGAAGTCTCAATGCTGCCGCATAAGGATACACGTTCGCCAGCAGATGTTACACCCGTTGATGGTGTTTGCGGTGAGGTGGCAACGGATGCTGTTTGGACGGCGAAACGTGGGCCGATCGCGCATCGCGAGCTGCTATCATGCATCAAATTTAATGGCAGCGAGGCGCAACAGTTCTTTGCCAATGAATCATTTACTCAATTCCAGACTATCGACAATGGTGGCGGTTATTATGTATTGACGTTACGTGACTTTAGCAATCCAAAGCAAGCGTCTCTGCCATCGCCGTTACATAAAAACTTTCCTGTGACTGTGGCCTATAAGGCGGAGTTGAGTATAGATGAAAGGGAATATGGTGAGGGCGGTGGTGTGGATGTTGTTACCTGACCAGGTGAAAGGAGATTGCGTCTGCGAAAATGGCGTGCGAAAAGAGGTGCTAAGAGGAGGAAGATGCTGGAGATCGAGACTGCAGTGATTTCCTACCGACTTGTGTACTTTTTAATATATTTTTGTATATTTCACTGCGATTTCGTTGGGTGTGACTAATAATGGGTAGTGTAGATTCAAGAAGAATAGATAAAGGGAATAGAGAAAAGATGGGAGAAAATTGTAGTCAAAAAGAGGACTAACAGAAAGTGTAAAGAGCAATCGAGATTAACATAATAATGAGCTTGAAAGCAACTAGAAAATTAGAACGCAGGTTGAATAGCCCACTTTGATAGAAAGTTAATATGTTATGAAATTGTACATACATACATACATATGTATCATGGTGAAATGAACTGTATTCTATCGTTCTTGCATATGCATGTATTTGGGATGATGGCAAGAAAGGCATGTTTAAAAAAATGCATTTAATTAGAAATTATATAGGAAGATTCTAGATAAAAGCACGAGGAGAACAATGAATATATTAAATGAAATCATTTAGCAAAGAGAAAGAGAGAGAGAGTGCAAAAAGATAACCTAGAATAAATGAAACGATCATGTGAGACACAGTGTCTCACTATTTTATATACTGAGTAAAAAGAAAAACTTAGCAGTTAAGCTAAGTACTTAAAAACATATTAAGTAATTATACACATAAATAATTATTTTCATCCATAAGCAAAACTGTATTCAAAAAGCATCTCAAACAACATAAGACTTTTTTTAGAGTGAAAAACAATTTGGTGCCAAATCAGTGTGCTTTCAAACTTTTAAATTTTGTATTAAAAGAAGGTGCCAATTATTGGTTAAGACAAGCGATAAAAATAGAATTTGAAATTTAGGTTAGTTTTTTCTACCAAAAACAAACAAACAAAAATACTGCTGCGAAGCATCTTTGACTAATATTTAAAGGCGAAAGTTTATGTTTGTCGTTGGCCAGTATATGTATTTCCAATTTTAATATCACGCATTTATTTCGAAAAACCATAACTGCCAGGACGAAGCATTTATTTATAAACAAGCTCTTTATTCTATTTTCATCTCATATTTAATTTAGACTTAAGAAGTTATTATTTTAGTATTTAAGTTAACTTTGAAAAATGTAAGTTAAGAATTACGTTTAAAATTCCATTAAAAATTTAGGTACTTTCTTGAAAGAGGTGTCAAAATTTTAATATTATTCTTTACTTAGTAAATTTTGTTACAATTTTCCACACTAAATATCAACAACGACTTTATTTTAAAATTGTATTTTTATATTATGTCTAACAAAGCAAATAAATAATAAACAAACTATTAAACGACTGCCAAAGGTCGTGTTTTAAAAAGAAATTAAATGCAAACTATTTAAATCTAGTTAATCGAATACGCATACCAGAGCAACCAATATAATCAGAAGTGGGATCTTACACTAGTTGAGAATTTTTGGAGAGGAATTCATATAGGATATATACATATACTTGACGAACATTTTTTTGAAATTAGATTTTTTTTTTTGAATTTTGAAGTAATTTTTGCGAATGATATTACGACCATTAGCGATCTATGAGGAGGGGACTTGAGTTTTGAGAATTACTTTAGTCACGGGGTTACAGTCCATCAATTCAACTTCATCGCCTTCTAGCCTTTGTAGGCACTATGCGAAAAAATGCTGCACATGTCCGACGACAGCACTGAAAGTAATTCCCGAGCTTGTGTTACATCAAATACCTTTTGTTGCAACTTAAAATGTATATTCAGATTTATTTGTAATGCTAAATAATATAAACTTATGTATTAATTTTGCGTAAATTGCAAACAGGAATGGCCCTTCAAGAAGGCATGCAGGGAAGCAATTTTTTCAGCTCTTTGCGAAAGCCTTTTACAATCACAACGGGGACCCCGTAAAATTTGCAATCGACTGTCAACTCGGCCTAAACAAGCAACTTCCGAATATATGTAAATGAGCAGTGTGATTCTATCTTCCAATGATTTCTTAACGCTGCGTATGAGGAAATAGAAAGGCTTTTATGCAACAACTTGAGATCCTGGCAGACTGTAATGCGGATCGAAAATTGTATCTGAAAAAAAGGTAGCAATCAAATTATTTCAAGACCGGTGATAGTTCCCTGGAGAGTGGAGCGCATAGTACAGGAACTATACTTACGTCCTTAAACTTGGTCAAGAAAAGCAATATTGTGAGTTAAAAATAACAAAGCTCTTTGGTAGACAGCTTACCGGCTGAGTTGTTCAAAGTTGGTGGCGAAGTTTACTTTGTCCTGCTGAAGCCCTTTATTAACCAACTGATCTGGTATCATCATTGTGGCCTCAAATTTTGCAAAATAACGGTATGCGACGAAAGGGAGAGTCAACTTAAAAGCCGACTTTGATAGCACGTAAAGAATAATACGCTTCTAAGACGCCATGTCTGAATCTGGTAGGCCTGGAAAACTAATACAGCGCTGTAGAGGACAATTCTGGCTAAGATATATAGTAAAAAGTCCTTTGTAAGACAATTGAAAGATAGATGGCAAGATAATTCCAAAGACTTACGTTATTGTAGCACAAAAGTCTTAAGGCGAATTCATTGTTCTAGTTCTGAACTTTTTCTTTCATGTGGCTGTTTTATTTCTCTCTCTGTGAAAAGTTCTGAACTAAAACGATGAATCCGCCGTAAGACAAAAGTTCTCCCCTCGTGGGGAAAAGCTATTTTGAGAGAAAGCACTTGTATATCATTTAGTCGCAATAGCACAGACAGACGGGGGATGGCAAAGCACAGACGTGGGATTCCAAAGAAAGCAAAAATATATTAATTTTATTTCATTTAATTTTTAGGGAGTTATTCAATTTTTTTCTCTTTTTTGGTCTAAGTTTCTTTTAATTATTAGATGTTATGGTTTAAAAAAGTAAAATTTTTTAAATTTTATTTAATTTTTAGAAAATGATTTTATTTATTTCTTTTTTAATTGAATTTGTTTTTCATGTGTTAATTACATTTTTTTTTTTTAATTTTTACATTAAAATGTTTTAAAAAGATTTTTTTTTATTTCAATTAATTTTTAGGATCTTATTTTATTTTTATTTTATTTTTTTGTATTTTCAATTTCATATTCTTTTCACCTTAAGATTTTGTTTTACAAACAAAAAAAAAATTTTATAATTTTATTTAATTTTTAAATGTTATTTTCTTCTTTTTTGATAAAATTTTATTTTTTTTCTAATTTAATTTGATTTTATTAAAAAAAAAAAAAAAACTTATATACCTTTATTTTTAATCACCTTTAATTTAAAAAAATTCTTTTATTTATTTTCGCTTTAGTTTAATTTATTAGTTTTTATCACCTTAAGAAGAAAAAAAGTATATTTTTTTAACTTAATTTAATTTTTTAAAAACTTATTTCTAACAGGAGAACAGCAGATCTTTCAATTGTCTTTCAAAAGGCTGTAAGAGCTTTCAAGATAGTTGCGAGAATTGACAATTGTCTTACGATAGACTTTTGCTTCTACAACTTTAGACTCCGTAGGCATTTGAAAAATATTTAATTCCCAGAGAACTATTCTACGTAAGATTTAAGACGAGTTGTATGAAGAAGAAGAATAAGTTATATTACCAGTAATTTTCGTTTTATATAAAAACATAGTCAATAATATTTTTTTTTAAAACCTCACTGTAACCAATCTTTCTTAAAAACACATAGGTTTTTGTTTTTAAATAATTTATTGTATCAATCATTATTTTTCCAGTACATACGGCGACTAGTTTTCTAAACTTAACTGAAAGAAAAAAATACTAATGTTAAATTACTTATTTTCTGACGTTCAAGCTCGGAATTCTGAAAAAGTTTACCATCTACTTACTAATAAATTTAAGTTTTTTAATAAAAGCGGTGTACATACTTTCTGGATATACTGTTTAAGGGTTATAAAATTAAAATAACAGAAATTTTTATTTTCAAAATTATACAAAAATAGAAAATTAGTTAAAAGATACCTGATAAGAGTAGGGAAATATTTGACACGATTTACGATGTTATACGCGCCTAAAAGATGCATTCGAAATTTAATAATTGGCTCTTCTGACTTATCGAAAACAATATGCAGGGATTAAAAGAAATGATTCCTCTTTAATTTAAATCGCTTAGAGTACATAGTAATTTATTCCGAAGACGACTTACTCAAAACTATTTGCAAATTTACTTAACCTGTTTTTTTTTGTTTTAATACTAAAGATGCAATATGTACTTTTTCTTAAACCTATAAAATTGAATCGAAAAAAACGCATACGAAATTTATAGATGTTTTTGTAGAAAAAAATCGTCGATTAAACGCGCGAGCGAAAAAGAACGCATTATCGTGCATACAGTGACGGCAAATAAATTGTAACCCAGGCAGGTGGAACAGCTTTCGAGCAACCGCTGCCACAACCTTCTTAACGCATATGCTGATGATTCATATAGATTGGGTTTGGCGAATCGACATCTTCGAAGACCATATCCTCCTCGGCATTCCAACGTACACTGCGCACGCTGCCATACCTGAAGTAGGTGACCAAGAGAGGTTATGTTGAAGGAGTTAGAAAATAAAATTTCAAGTTTCGTTGTTGTTATTGTTGGCGCGCGAGTACAGCATAATTGATGGCATGCATAGAGCAATAAAATATAGAATGTTGTAAAAAGGTGAGTGTGTAAATGTTTAGAAAAGT